CCCGCGGCGCTGGGGCCCCTGTCACCTTGCGGCCGGCAGAGCCATCCCCGGTTGCCCGCAGCTGCCTGGGGAAGGAGACGTAGAACTTGCGCCTCCGCGTTTCTGCCGTGGGGGCTGCTTTGCTGTTACAGAAAGAAGGGGGATTTCCTGAAATCAGCAGACCTCTGCTGTACTGAGACCCCGCGTTCCCCCCCACACGTACCTTGCGTATGACCCGTTACACAAGTCACAATCTGGCACAAGTTGGTGCTGTACGCACAGTTCACAGCCGATAGTTCTATAAACGTTTTTAAAACATGTATTAACGCTAGATCTTGTATTAACGTCCAGCGTCAGTGATCCTCAAGGCTCTGTGAAACGATCATCTTGCCCAGCTAAGAAAAAAAACTGCTGAATATATATGACCCGACCCTATTGTCAATGGAAAACACCACACAAATAGCCTTTAAAAGGTTTGATTGTGGCATAATATAGGAGCTAAGATGCTGGAGCCCCTTTTTCGTGCAAATTAGGCAGGGGAACAGAGGAGAGGACTTGGTGGGGGGAGCCGACACTGATAAAGTAGCCCCACAGGATTCATTCACTTCCAAAGGCCCCAACTAGCCCATCTGCTGCCATGAGGAGAAAGCATTGAGCCACTTGATCTCTGAACTTCTTCCAGTAGCAGCTTTCCCTTTCTGCGGAAAAATCCTACAAGCACTTTGCTGACTTGTCCTCAAATCCCCCCTCCCCTCCCCCCAGCTTATATTAGCACTAGATCGCATATGAACTTTAAACAAGGATATTTCGGTGCAGAGATTGCTTCTTTAAAGACAAGAACCTTGTAGATCTATTTCCTCCTTAGGCTAAATTAAAAAAAAAAAAAAAAGTGCATCACTTCCTTCTCACCTCCATTGTCAGTGATTTAGGATCTTAAAATAGTCAAAAAAAAATATAGGCAGTTCATCTTTATTTTTAAACGTGGAGTTTAATCATTTTAAACACATCTATTAAAAAGCCATATAAACTCAGCTTTTCCCTAGGTCCATGTAACAGTTTCTTAAAAATCACACTCATACATTTTTTGTTATATTATTTAAGGGAAGCATGAGCCAAGGTGGTAGAAGAGCTGTTACAACAACCTGGGGTGAGATGGCAGAAGCAAGCATGCTACATAAGGAGCTCCTGTTTCAGCTTTTTGCAGCCCAGAGCATTCCCTCAGGCACAAGGGATTTTAATGCTTACAGATGTTTATGGCCTGAATGTTTTCAGTTAATAAACTGTAATGAGGAGGCTTGCTGAGCATGCATGACAGGAAAGGAACAAAGTGAAGTAAGAGTTCTTAAGTTTACAAGATGCACAGGTTAGAAGTTCCCTGCACTTTTGAAATGCAAATACCCAAGTGAAGAGAGGGTTGGCTCTCATCACTGAAGCTTATTAAAACTGGGGAAAAAGTAAAACTAGTAACATCTTTCAGAAACTGTAAGTGATGTAAAGAGGAAGGTGGAGCACTTATATGATAATCTTGTGAAAAGCTGGGAGAAGGATCAACCAAAAGCGGACGAGTGGCTGCTGAGACATCCACGTATGCTGCCGAACAATAGCAGTTTTACGTATGGACGACACTACCACTAGAACTATGTCCATGTACCTGAGATTTGAAACATGCTTTTTGAAGGATTTCAGTCAGAAGCATGGTTGCAATGTTCAACACAACTCTGTTCTCTAAGTAACCAAACTTGTCACACTGCAGCCCTGTAAAAGCCAGGTGCTTATCTTCATCACAAGTTTATTACAGATGTGAAGACTCATATTTGCTTTTATGAGTGAGGAACAGGAAAAGTTACATGAGTTTAAATACTTTAATCCACACACTTTAGTCTACAGAGAAATACAGTAGAAGTAACAATACAACAAAAAGATGCATTAAGAAATTCAGAAACAGAGTCAGTGCTGTGCAAAACTTACATTTACAAACTTCTAAGAATATGGAGCAGATGTTTCTCAAAAGAGCTTTCTGCATGCCTTAGTCATAAGAAACAGGTCATGATACAATCAACTGAAGGCAAACTTTACTCCACACGTACATGGGTGTAACCGAGTAAAAGCCACAGAACCTGGTGGAGTTCTGTGACTTTACTGAAGTTCCTGCTTCTTATGGACAGAAGCCGGCTCAAGTTCTTAAATGATACACAGCACCCACAGGTAACGATCGAGTAAATCTGTCACTGTTACAGGGGCCTAGGGTGATATCTGCTTCAGCAATGTTGGATCAAGCCAGTGAGGGTGCAAACAAAGCAGAAAGTTTTATGAGAAGTTCCAGAATCACTCCTGCTGTGTCCACACAGCAAATACACAGGAAGGCACACTTCCCAGCTTTTATAGGTAAGAGTTTTATGTGAATACCTCTTCCTCCTCTCATTTCAGCCTACCTTCTTTTAAACACCAACAGGAGAAAAAAAAATTTGGTATTTGCAAGCATCACTTGATGTCAAGAGAAGTGTAAAAGATTTGCCTTTAAAAATTTACACTGGAGGTTCAACATTATGCTGGCTCGTTATTTGTTTGCAAATAATATACTTTACAGCTGTAAGATTCAGTTTGGCTCTGAGTTTTTGTTTTCTGAGAAGCTAGGTGGGGGCGGTGCAACAAATTTTGTTGATCTTTGGACACTAATATGTATATCTTAAAACGCAACACGTAAGGAAGCTACTGTTTTGTCAAATACACTGATGGTTTTTGCACTAGCATTCTATGGGGAAAAAGGAAGAAATAGGAAAAAACACTGAATCCCAGATGTCACCTTTGGCTGGTTGACAAGAACTAAGATGTTACAAATTCTACTTTTTGAATAGCTGTTTGCATTTTTAGGTTCCTTTTTTTCTTTAGTGCAACTTCAGAATATTCATAAACACATTCAATACAAGTCACAAAATCACAGCATCACAGTACTTCTAAACCACAGGATTTTTTTTTTTTTTCCTTCAGCTTAACATGCTGGTATTTTCTTGTAAGTAGTTATGACTAATTAATGGTTACAGCTCTTAAGAGCCACATTCCTACAGTATTCTGTTCACTAACTACCAAATAGAAATAACTATACACATTGAAGTTACAAGCTACAAAAATAAAAATCTATTCTGTTTAACTATAAAAATCTTATAAAGAGAAAATGGCTGGAGGTACTCTAAGGATTACAATAGTTGGTAGTGGACAAAATGGCTTTTGAGGGATGTAAACTTTAAAGATACAAAATGGAATAAACTCAACAATATTAACTTCCACTTCCTCTTAAAAACAACGATTTTTATGCCGAAATCTACAAACAGGTTGTAAATTAAACAAAATGCAACAAAATGAATTACATACAGCAATAAAAGTATAAGTACAGTAAACAGGGCGGTACTAATGAGAAACAAAGTAAAATTCTGAATACATTCATACTTTTAAAGAGTAAGGGCCAGACCCTCAGCATCACTGGGTTTAGTTGAGGCATGTGGCTTTACTCCAGCTAGAAGTCTCTCCCTGAGAACCCCGAAACCTGAACTGAGTATTTAGCACTCTTACTGAGTAAAGAAATTTGGATCACATCATGCTTTTGGAAATGCGGCCTAACGGAAGTTAAATACACATCTAAGTTCTCTCAATATACCTAACTGTTAAATGAAGAAGTCATGCTCCATTATGTTACTTCTGTGTTCAGGAAGCAGCTGTAGTTTCTCAGAACAAAAGTCAGCATTTTAAAGTAAAGGGTTCACATTCAACAGGATCAGTGATGGTACTAGTACTTTTAAATCTAAAGATATTTCTAGCTTACTCCTAACTGAAGGGTCAATTTTCTTTCTTTTTTAAAAGGGAGAAACTGCTAATACTAGGTCTCAAAAACCTTTTTGTTCTGCATTTCATCTAGAACACGTGCAAAGATTCTCAAGTATCCTACTCTTAACCGTGAATTAACTAACTAGGCTACAGTGGTGCTCTTCCAAAAAGAGAGTGTTTGTTCCTAACTAACAAAGATAGGCATGTATTATAACATTGATACTGTTATGCTGGTACAGTGCTTTATGAGGTTTTTTGTTTCAATTTCACAGTTAGATAACACACACTAAAAAACATAAGCTGTAAGCTTCAGTGCATGCAATGCAGAATCAAAACCAAAAGGAACTGGCCAAACTGGTATCAGTTCTGAGAACCTGAGGAGAATGGGGAGATCCCTCACCAACAGGGACAAGCAAACATCACAATTTCAAAACAGGCAAAGGGCACTGGGAACACAAGACCTTAGAAGCTCATTCTAATATCTTGCCAGGTGTTAGTTTGGGTAAATTGGTGATTAAGGTGATTAAAAACCCAAACAGGCGGGCTGCTGGGCTAAGAATAAATTGCATTAAACCATTCTGATTTTCTCCACTGACAAGCTAGCTGTCATAAAGTATCACTAATCTGACTTTAGTAGGGCTTTTTACACTGTCCCAGCTGACATTTTGAGATGAAAATAAGCCAGCATAAAATGAATAATTAAATGATTGAGGAAGAAAAGTGCTTACTGAGCAGTTAGAAACTCTACCAAGACAACACGTACACGTGAACATACGTTCATACTCCTCATCAGCTGAAATTATATTGAATAAATTTAACTTACTCTTGCTATGTAGCATTGCCTCAGGAAGATGAATTAGCCTCTAAGCTATGTTCAAACACTGTATGATTTTCTTATGTAACCAGGAGAAACTCAGGTCTGCTTTCCAAGAGCAAGTACTTAATGCTTCTGACTAAAGTAAATTGTGTTTTTGAGTTACTCAGTACCCAAGAAAAGCAAGACTTGAGAAAACTGCAAAGGGGTAAGAGTGAGAGTAACCATTTCAAGAAAACTGTCAAATGCATGAACTAAACTAGACTGTCTTTACATTATGATCATTAAGTGCAATTCAAAACAGTGGCTGAGAAGTATTCAAACTTGAGCATAGTTTTCAACTAAATATACACTTGAAACACATCTCAGCACTGTACAAGAAAGAAAACATGATCAGAGCATGATGTTCTCTAATAACTGCAATAATTCCAAAGTACTTTCAAAAGTATGCTCTAAATATGCTATTAGCTGCTTTAAACATCAAGAACTATAGAAATACTTTGAAAAGTATGAAAGTGGATGCCATCCACCTCAGTTTTTTATTTGAAGATGAAAAATCTTTGAAACACCTTTTTAAAGGAGTCCAAACATGGAGGAAAAATCCCAAACGCAGCGCATCTAAAATAGCTTCTTTAACCCAGCTATGAATTGCTCACAGTGAAAAACCAGGCAAAACAAAGCCTATGACAAAAGGCGGTATGCATACAGAGACACACACACACACTCTCTCTCTCAACATGCATGTGTAAACCAACCAGGTTTGAGCAAGGCAAGCTCACTCTCAGAAAAGACTTTCCATGCAAGTTTAAGTTCTCTGAAGTGCATTTCACAGGACTCAGAACATAGAGCAAAGGAAGTTATCAGAATCTGATCAAGCTTCAGGTAAACTAGTGTATTCTGCAATAAAATGGCAAGATAAACTTTGTGAATTCACTTGAGCGCTTAACAATTTTTTTTTTTTTTTTTTTACAGCAACAGTCACTCTACACATTTTACATGAAGTTGCGCTATATGAAGCCTGTGAGAACCTAAAACTAACCATTATTTGTCTTTCTGAAACACCCCTTTCACCTTTTTTCTAACATGACTCAGTAAGAGGGCAAAGGAGAATCCTTCAGCACAGGATATGAAGTTCAGCCCAAGAGTACCCTCCTCTGGATAGAGAGGGCACTGCAGTAATTTTAGGTTTCCAATCTCAGTTTTGAGGTAAAACTATACAGTAGCAATTTGAACTGATGCTTTATGCCTTCTACCAACAACATTAAAAAAGCATGTAAGTTTCACATCCACCACGCACACATGACAACAAGCAGCTACAACTATTTTACAAACTAGAGAAGTGCTTTACCACTTCATTCACATTAGCGTTAGAATCCGGGATCCCATTGCTGACATTTATTCCCTGCAGATGGACTACAACTGAACCATTCCACGAGAGTAATTCAAAACCAACTAACTCATTGTGCAACACACTGGAAAGGAGAACACATTTAAATCAAAGGACGGAGTGCTGGAAACAGCAAGACTTCCCAAATTCTAGCGCTAACGTTAATGTTTAAAAAAACGTTTGTCATACATAGGATAACTACATATAGTTACAGCAGAAGGATGCCTGGCCCCATGTCTGATTGGGAACTGGACACTTCAACTTTGTAGAATATTCTCCATACCATAAATATAATTTTACCAGAGACTTTTCATGCCTAAAACGGCTAAGTTTGCTACTTAGTCTCTTAGTGATTGCAACAAATGCATTTTATGAAACACAGCCTTCTTACCACATGCAAGAAGGGGGTGGCCTGTCCAATACCAATAAGGCCATTTACAGGCATTTCTCCCAAAGAGCCCAGTGCCCAACTAGATGTTACTTTCACTTCTCATTCTCTTATGCTTCTGCAGAGCTAACAATGGATTTAGGTTTTCCAAAGACTATTTCACACACTTAGGACAGGATTCCTAGCAAGCTGCAATAAGTGGGAGGATCCAGCCTGCGCAAATACAGTACCCGGGTGTTAACCCACCCAGGCAAAATAGAAGTGGAGAAGTTGTCTCACTCACTGTAAAGAAAGGGAGGCTTCTCAAACTCTTGCCAATTAATTTTTTTTCCTCAGATCCTGGGAGCACAAAGACTGAAGTTTTGCAACAGTTTTATATCCAGTTTTGGAACTGTTTCATATAAGAGCCTTTAACTGCTTGAATAATTATCTGATCAACTTTAGGTAGCTCTTCAAACTCTATTATGAATAATTTAGATCAAGCAGCCAGTACTGTCATTTCTCTTGAGAAAATACTGCTTATCATAATACATACCCTGCTTTTCCAGAGCTTTGTAATTTGTTTGTAAACAATAGTTTGAGAACCACAGCATAAAACTTAAATATTTTTTTAGGATGTTGATGTTTATAAGTTAGTCAAATAAAAATAAATAACTTCCAACTAGTAAGATTTTTAAAGTCAATGCAAATTCATTCTTCATAACTAAAAAAAGAACTAGGATAATGGATTTATCTAACATTGTGTGTTTTGGGGAATTTTAAATACTTTTTTATATATATATATTTAAACATTCATGTTCTTCATATTTACATATTAAAAAATAAAAGTGAGGTGTATAAGGCTAATAAACATGGAATTTACAAATGGCTTCTGCTTTACATTGCATTACACTCTAATCACATTTAGCGACATCTATAAATTCACTGATAAGCAGTAGTATTTAAGATCTAGCACATACACTTTCTAGAACAATACCATTGAGTTAAAAATGCTCTCCAAGGAGGATTACAACGGAAGGTTTCAAAAATATTGACTTTGTCAAGGCTTCAATAAGTTATTATTTTAAAATATAAATAGTTCATTTACTGCTAATGCAAACTTTTTTGTTTTATAGATTGTTGTAAAACCGTTTTATTTTACAAAACCTAGAAACACAGCCTACTTTACCCAATGGTATCGTTTTCAGTTAGCATACAGAAAACAAAAGGAAAAATGGAGAGTTTTGAAAAAGAGAAGCAATACTCAATGTTCAGATCAAGGTCCCTCAAATTCTCTTTCTATTCTTAGCTTATGCAATATACATCCAGCACAAATCCACTTCCTACTTGGAGATTGCCTTCAATAAATCAACTGGGCTTAAATGAATTACTTAGTGACAAAATTTAAACTGTAACTCACAGCTCTCAGCTGCTGCAGGCTTAAATACCTATAAGGAAAAAAGGAAGCAGATACTTTGTTCTGTTGATCATGAAGACGTTTTCACCTGAGAAGCTTTTAACCTGAGAAGCTTCAGATACATCAGATTGACAGTTGTGTGTACTCTTGTATGCGTTAATGTTTACTATCAATACAGGCTGTCAACTTTTTTTGTGGCCATATAAATATATGGGAAATACAAATGCAGGTCCAACAAGGTACCTTCCACCTCTTAAGAGCCAATCAGAAAACAAGTGTTTCTGTGTTTTTTTTTTTTCCAAAATCAAGTTATACACATGAAGGCTAGAACCTGATAACCACTGCAAGCTCAGCTCTCAACCCCTACACTTACAACTGACATGGTTAACACACTAACTCGCTACTGATCATTTTCAGCTAATTATCAAGCAAGATCTTTAACAGCCTATTAAAAACATTGCCAATTGTCATAATTTCTTAAAGCTCTGCTATATACAACTAAAAAGATAGCTCCCTTGTCCATGGTCTCTCCTCCAAAAAGCCTACCCAAGAACTAGGACACGCTGCTTATTTCTAAAAACCTAGAATTAATTCCTCACTTAATTAGAGCAGTTAGCCATAGGACCGTTCAGTGCAAGTTACGGTAGAATTATTTTGATGCTGTATCTTGGGTATTCAGGACCTCAGGAGTACTCTCCTCTACACCCTACACAGCCATTGAAAGAGTCACTGGCTAACAGACCATTTCCAGAAGCCTTTTTTCTAAAAGCATCTTCCTTGCTTACCACCTTTCCAGAAGTCCCCCAGATCTTCCACTCTTCCAGTCAAGCCTACCAGATACGTACTGCCCAAGCAAGTGCTCAGAAAAGCATATCTCCACTCCCAAGAAAAGATGGCAGCCAGGAGCAAGCTTTTGTCAGAAAAATCAGACCACATCCTACTTGGTCTGCTTCTCTGTTCTGCAGCTGCTCCTGGGAAAAAGGGCAGGTGGAAGCAGGCTGAACTCCCACTTCCTTGCCTTCCCAGGAGTAAGCGAGCCTTTTGCACACTGTACTGTGCATGTGCCGAAGTCTGACAGCACAGTAAGGAAGAGCTGCAGTATCTGTCCCTCTCCTGCCATCGGAGTAACTAACTCCTCCACCTGGAAGGGCTGGGCACCACCAATCCAAAAGGCAAAATAATTGCAGTAATTCAGCTGTTAAAGTTTTCATGAATGTGAAAGCATGGCTTTTTCCTCAACCTTAGTTTGTTCACAAGCATGAACCTTACAGCATAAACCTTAATCTGGATTAAATCTTCTCAGTGTTTCTGAAGCAAGCTTTAGTTTAATCACTGTATTACGTTAAGTTCGGCAAAACCTACACATCTTCATCTGTCTGCTCTCTCACGTGCTCTTGCTCAGACACGCTGGAAGCGTCGTCATCTGTTTGTTCACCAGAGTGATACAACATCAGTGCATGTGTCTTATGAGTTATGGTAACAGTGCAGGGCCCCTGAGCCCATGGTTCTCCATCCACCTGCATTGGCATCTTTGAACTCTTCAAGATCAGCTAGTATTAAACAGAAGAACACACAAAAATCATAGCAAGTCAAAGCAGCTCTGAAGGTATCTTCTACATCTAAGGTGTACCGATGCTGCAAGGTTTCAGCCTTGCCAGGAAGAATCTTAGTATATAATTAATTGTACTCATAGGTCACAAAGCACAGCAACAGAGGATTGAAAATTAAGATAAAATTAACTTTCACCAAGCAAGAGAAACATCCAGCTCAACTGCAAACTACATCTTTAGAACAAAGACATGAACCGACAGCTAAGCACTTGAAATTGCATCCTGTGTGTTGAAAAAACATATACCACTTACCCTCACTGTATGTGCCTGTCCTAGACGAACAGGATTTGCTAGTTTCACCTGAATCTGGGCACAGTGGAAAGAACCGTAAACTCCAACAACTTCCAGCAGTCCATCATCATGCCTGTGAATTAAGAAAGGAGATGCTTTTCCTAATGATGCTCATCAGCTCCTAAGTACACATTCAAATACTACATAGTCCTTTTATCACTATTATTATATTATAGTGAACATAAACGTTGTTCGCTGCTACACCCTCCTCGCCTCTGGCAACTATGAACGTGGGCTTTCCAAGTCATACTGTGCATCTACACTATTTAAAGCCTTCAGCAGATTTCTCTTCTATGACCTTACAATTGCTTTTCTGTCTTTTTAAGTAGTTCAGCTACAGGAAGATTTTTCTCATCTACTAGGTTTCTTTTAGATTTTGGTAAAGAATCTTGCCCAGATCTTTTTAGAAACAGTCTCATCATAAGCAACGTAATAGTACCGTGAAATATATTCATATACATGGCTTCTGAAGAAGGAAATCACACGAGGGAAGAACCAATGTGTCCAATTTACCTCATTAGTATAGCTTTAGCCAACTTACTCAGCATGGAAGTCAATTTTTTTTTTTTTTTTAAACTTTAACCTCTATTAAGACATGTTCTTTTCTATCCTAAAATAGACATATTTTCTATTTTTTGAAGGCCGAGTCTCTAACGTGAAGAAAATAACAACTAAAGATAACCTACTCACGAGAAATCCTTCTGATTTTCATATGGGACTGGTCACATAAGCAAAGCCTGCTGGAGGGAATTCTTTACACTACAAGAACACCTCTAAATAAAAAAAAAAAATGCTGATGCATTGTATACCTTGCCAAGGGATAAGGTTCATCACCCATTCCTTCCCAGAGTCTACAGCCACCTCCCCAGTATCCAATATTCAGGACAATGATGCCTTCCAAGTTGGGCAACTCGATTCTCTCACCATCCAACTCTAGCTTTAGAAGACACACAACAGAAGTTAGCTACTGCAGATCAAATTCATACTTCAGCCAGTTGTTATCTTTATGCACTTATTAGGGCTTCACTTAAGTAGAAATAAAAATACACCTCTGAGCAAAACTGGCCACATACAATAGAATGTTTTCTTTGCATAATTAAAAAAAAAAACTTCTGACTTCGCAACAAGATACACTGAGCTATAACCATCAAGTTCTGTTACTAAAGAACAGAAAAAAAGAATTCTCTTAACTTAAAAGTTAAAAGTTCCTGCTGCTAAGACAAATTTCATCTGAACAACAGTATTTGAACTCAGAGACCTGAGTTAAAGCCACAGAATAATTTAGGAATCTTAAGTTCAGAGGCATGAATTCTATGCAGTAAGTTGCAGATAGCCAAGGAGCCCGGAACATCAAAAATCCTCCAGCAGGTCCAGAGCCATCCTATACACAGGCATTATGTGGTAGACAAACTGCAAAGCTCTTCCCCTTTCCTTTCACTGGGAAAGTTTATACATTCCTTTAATTGTCCAGAGAATAAATGGGCAAGTTAAAAAAACAAGTTACCTCAACCTTTTTGTTGAGATCTTTACATTCTTGTACTAAGCAGTCTTTGGTTCCATAGAAAAAGTAAACAGCCTATAAAAAAAGAATGGAAAGCAGTGTTAGAAAAAGATAACAGTACGTAAGATTATTTAAAATACTCACGTAAAGAAACGGTTCTGCGAGCCTTATTTAAAATTCATACGTAGCATAAAATATTTGCATATTATTCAAGTAAGTTCTCTTAACGAACTAGGCTACAACTCCCCTAAGAACCTTGTTTTCTTCCCTTTTAAAAGGAAATGGGCAATGTCCCTAACCCATTAAGTTTCAAAGCAAATATGAAGCTCTAAACAAAAATTGAACAAATGAAAGCATAACTGTAAACAAGCTAGCAAGCAGAGGCAAGTCAAAACACTTGGAAACAGGCTGGAAACACGTTTAATCCATAAAATCCTCTAAGAAAAAAGAGTTCAAACTTTTCTAAAATGGGCTGAAAGGAAGTAGTGGAATAAAGCAATATATCACTACGTGACATCAGAGTACATATTCCACACTGAAACTTGGGGCTAACAAAAGGGAGGGGGGGAAAAAACAAAATAAAAACAAAAAAAATCCCCACAGTGTAATGGCGGGTCAACAGAGTAGTGTGCAAAGACAACAGATCACTGCAGTTTATTAATATCCAAAGACATGTATTCTGTTTCCAATTAACGCACTTCTTGACAAAAGGGTCTAAAGGCTGAAAATCCAACAGAGCAGTTAGGACGAAACTCTAAGGCTTAATTGGAAGAGCTTCTAGCATACCATGCAGGAAAAAAATAATGCAGAACATTTCCAAAAATTAGCTTTAAGTCAACAACTGCAAGTGGAAAATTCCAAACATACCTTATTAATAATTCTGCTGGAAAACAGAGAGGGAGTCTTCTCACGATGAGCATGGAAATTTAAAGCCATGAGAGCATCGGGCCCTATAGAAAAGTAGTTGTTCATTGTGAACACCTGTTAGACAGAAGTTTTAGTTAAGATCATATTAAATTTCATATTATCAGGATTTAAAAAGGATTAGCTGTTTTATCAGAAGTAGATAAACAGAAAAGTACACCCACACAGGTATTAAACAGAAACCATACTTGTAACTTCCAACCATACCTTTGGTTTCCTTAAATTGTAGTATCCCTTGTTTGTTACCTGAACCTTCCATCTGAAAAAACAAAAGCCATTATTCAGACACATGACAGATAGTATCAAATCTGCAGTTAAGAATCCCATACCTACAGTGGAATGAAGTCACAACATTCAGATTTAGTTAGTAATGAAAGAGTTGAACACTGGAACAACTGCATGAAGAGTAATTTTGAACCTCAGTTATTCCACAGCTCCCTAGTCCAGCAGCATTTGTGTTTCTTTATACACATTGCTGTAACTGGGTATCAACTTTATTTCTCCCATTATTACTGGTATAGTAATATTTGGTTCTACAGAACCTATCTTTTCACTGTTACTTACCTGTCTAGCTTGATTCCATCTGCCTCCATGACATTTCGTAAGATTTGTTCTACAGGGACTTCTCCAGCATAACCTGCACCCCAGCCCAGTGTGTTAGACAGGTCGTTGCCTGTTCCCAGAGGTAAGATTGCAACTTGTGGAATGTAGCGTTCTTGCCCCTAAGATACAGAAACACTGAATATTAGCTCCTCTTTCAGTGTTTGTTTCCTCCGTTTTATCCCCAAACATTCAGGTTAGAAAAATGCCATTAATCTTGGGCGCATTAATCTTCTTGCGTATTGCAGAGTGATACAGCTGGCAGCAATAGCACAGCAGATGGCACATCTAAGTACTTATGGTAGGGATAACACAAAGGAAGGGAATCTTAAGTCACTGCGGAGAGAAAAGAACATACATGTTTCCAATGTGGAACCAATGCATTATTAATGCTGAACAGATCATCCCTCAAAACAATGATGCTTTGGAGCTGGATTGGAAGCCTGAACTTCTCATTCCATTTCCTGGGTTGCTGATTTGCTGCAGTTACTAGTTACTATTACAGCACGTCCCCCTGGGGAAGCGATATAAATGCTAGAAAAGACAAAGAACGCACAAGGCCATGGCATGTGAAAAGGCTCTTAAAAGATGGAGTAAGGTTAGGCCTAAAGAACAGAGGCACATAATACTGCAGTATTTAGCCATGGAGAGAAATTCGCAGACTCAAAGAAGAAAAGTCAGCATCTAAGTTTCAGAGATGCTGCATACCCACAGATCAACAAATGCAGCAGCAGATAATCACCTCTGCAGATCACAGAGCAAATGACACAGCCAGACTCAAAACAGCCACCTCAAAGGTCTTTGCTTTCTCTTTACTACAAGAGCGTGCACAGTTATTTCCAACTGCTATGGTCTTTGAAGTTCAGCTGTGAAAAGGACTTGAAGAAAAACTGACACTATGGCTACTATTTTTCAACAAGATATATTAGCCAGGCAACCTGGAGTTGAGAGTCAAGATAAGCGAAAGGAGTGAAGAATCTATTGCCAGTGATAAAAAGGTTTGGCTGATAATCCTAACAATATTTATGTAATTCTAGTGCCGACAACCAGATTTCAGAAGCTTAAAAGACTATAATTTGAATACCTGGAAGCAAGTAAGAACCCAGAATGCATCAACAGTATTGGCTCTAGAGGTCAACATATCAAGCATCCAAGCCCAAGAAACCAAGTATTCATATTCATTAAACTTTATAGTTATACCTTGTTGTACTTCTACTTTTTTAGCACAAAAAACATTCTCAAAGAAGTTCAGCTCAATTATGTATTCAGCTGTAATGCTGGCCTTCAGTAGAACGTTTCACGGATTAGCAGGAAAGCAGCAAAAAAAAAAAATTGCTAGTAAAGATGGAGCAATTGGCCTGACTCATGGCTGAAACTGGAAGAAAATTAACACTGTTGTAAGAAGACTTGCTTTCTTCCTTTAACCAGCAGGGAAAGAGAGCTCATTAGACAAAGTACAAGAGCCCTACTAATTATTCTTCATTCTGAATTTTCTCAGAAGTCCTTACTAATATCCCATAAATTGGGATATAGTCTATTTCAAATCAACAGTAAACACGCAGCATGTTTTTCTTCCTTCACTCACTGTTAACAGGTGATGCTGCAGACTGAGAATCATTAAAAGACGAAATAAATAGCAGAAGCCAATAAGTACGCTCATTCATGCACTGGCACTATGATCACGATAGCCAGCAAATGTTAGGAGGTTATTAGAGAAGACTGAAGGCTTTGGGAGAAGTAAGTAGTCAGAGCAGTATAGCCATTATTAGTAGCGTTATTTATTGCAAAATAAATATCCCTTTAGAGGAAAAGGGAAAAAACAACGCATAAAAGTGTTCTAAAGATTGTTCTTCTCTCATTCTACAGAAAAGAACAGCTGTAAGTAAACATTTAAAATCCAAAGCTTTTATGTTTTTCCTGAACTACAGGGCTTCATAACAAAATGGTTTCCCCCCTCCCCACCAATATGAGTTGTGATTAATTTTCTATGGACTTATTCTTTGACATGATAATAAATTCAGGTAAGAGATTAGGGCTTAGCACTTCAGCAGCCACAAAACTCACTTCACCACAAGAAATGCTTTTAAATTAAATACAATACCTTTATCTTCATTTCATCAATTGCATCCAGGACCCAGCCCACTGTGCCATCCCCACCACAGACAAGGACCCTGACAGCATTGCAAGGCAGCAAGGTACAAAGCTGGAGTGCTTTAGCAGGTGCAATTTTGCTTAGATCAAAAACCTAGAATACAGGAAAATGAGCAGGTCTAAGTTCAGAGAACATGACTCAATTTGCCTCACAGACAAGTAATTTCAAGAAGTTCATTTTGATGCAAAGCGGACATTTTTCATTTATGATAGTACATTAGTAAACGAGCAGTCTTGACTTTTATGAGCAAGATTCAATCTCCCAAATCCACAAAATAATTCCAGCTGCTTCATCAGGAATAAATAACATTGATAATATCAAGCAGACTTAAGTTCTAAGAAAAGTCTGTATCTAGTAACACTACAATGAATTTTGTAAAGATGAAGGACCTCATATAAAAGGTTTTTTTTTTTTTGTTCTTTTTTAAGCATTCAGGATACAAAGAGGTTTATTCTTCAAAGCCCTATTGGGATGCATTTAAAACAAACACAGAGCGATTTCTATTAGTCTGCATTATAAGGCTGTGTTTCAAACTTCAAAGGAAGAGCATCAAGGTGCAGTCCGGAAAGCGAAGGAACAACTGCCTTATGTCAACATCCTGTGCCTTCCCAGGGGAAGCTTAAGAGGAGAGAAACAATACAAAGCTACAACTGTAAATACTGCCATTTTCACAAGTAAATTAAGGATTTAAAACAAATGCAAGTTTCAAATTAAAGGTCTAAATATTTTGTTTTTAAAAATTGTTCAGTATTTCAAGAGTAAGATCCTTATTAAAGCAGCAAACGCGCAGACTACTATAAATAGAAAGCTGCACCAGTATTAGTAGAACTGTATCAAACTTCTTGGGGTGGGGGGGGGGAAGGCCACTGCATTTTTAGTTTCTCCTTATAAATCTGTACTTTCTAAAAGAAAGAGCTCCATGAATTTGTTTCCTTTACTAATCTTCCAAAAGATTCTATTGCCATTATGCAAGCAAAATTATGTTGGAGTTTAATTTCAGCTTTTTTTTTAAAAACAAAACAAAACAAAACAAAACACTTTAGTGGCTTTCTGCCATAATTACCTGAACAGGGTTCAGTAGAATTTTAAACTCTCCTAGTAAGGTTTCACCCATGTTGTTCCCACTACGAGTATTAGCCAGTATGATTATTGGGATCCAGTGTTTTCTGCAGTAAGGTACTATCTGCAAAAAGATAACAATTAAGTCACACAAATACTGCACGAGTGAAAATGTTTAAAGCAGAAACAATGAGGAAGCTGATTAGTTTGTAACAGTAAAAACAGAAACAAATACTTTGACACACAACTAAGAGGACTTTTTTACATTGAATTCAATCAGTAGCATTCAAAGTTGAAGATTTCTGTTTCTACAGTACTTAGGAAAACAGATACCATGATGTTACAAAGAAGTAGAAAAGTTCAAAACACTAAATACCCATTTAAACAGCTGCTGTTTTGCATGGATTGTTTTGCTAGCTAACTCTTCCCGATGCATTCTGAACAATAATTCTTGAAAAGCACCTTGACAGATGACTGTTTTAAGTCTAAGTTAATTGAGGCTTAAAAATCCAAACCACAAATAAGCTGAAAGGTTGATTTAGGATATTTAAAAAAAAACCAAAACGTATTCTCTATTGCTATTATTGACTTTTTAAAAATAAGCTTACAGTCCCTCTTTCAGAGGGCTCTATTTTGTCTCTATTACCCAAAATTAACAAACACTTCTGGAACACCTGGAAGAGCACTGCATTGCTACAATGGTTCTGCAGGAAACACCTTACACATGAATGGCTACGTTGCCATGTGACGTTATTACTTTACCAGCTTATCATCTCTGCATCCAAGGCGTACTCTAGCATCCACAGACCTTATCAACTCCATATACAATTAAAATAATTCAAGAATTCCCTACCTGCTCCACCCTTTGCAAAACCATTCCATTATACCTTCACCATGTTAACTTTCTGTCACACTGGGGAGCTCATATTAAATTGTTTTTCTAAAATCTTTATAGGCATTGCTTTCCAGACAGTAAGCTTCTCCAGTCACAACATAATACTGTACTTCAGAAAGTATGGCTGCCATGACACATGCTATGTTTCAGTTCAAATACCATGTTTTTGATTGACAGCTATAGCTCTTTAAAAATACATTTTTTTAAAGCACTGGAATTTTATTCTTTAACAGACTTATTTTTAATCACCTACTTGGCCTTCTAGGACTTCTCTAGTAAAATATTATGTACACGCATACCCACCAGTGCATTTATCTACAGGCAGATGACATAAGATTAAATCCCTGCGGCACGCAGTACTGAGGTGACCATAAAACAGAAAGTAAAAAAGGACTACTCAACAACAGAAAGATATACATGGAATACCTAAGGAAATAAGGCACCCAAACCTCAGTGCTGTTTTGGAACAACAAAATCCAAGTGCATGTTCGGCTTCGACCATGATGTTAATAATATGACAAACACCTTCAAATAAACACAATGTGTTCAACACACATTGGAACATTCAGCATATAGTCATCCTGACAAGATACTTAGTTCAGCCTGACAACATATTTAGTTCCAGTTTTGCTGTCTGTTTTTATGTACTATAAAAACCAGAAGCAGTAGATGGTTACCTTTTCATAATCGGTTCTTTTCTCTTTACGCATCTGGTTAACAGCGGATAAGTAGTACGGTGGAATAATTAAGTCTCTGAACTCTCCAAACGTACACTCCTCATTCTTTAGAGAATTCTGCATGCATTCGTCATGTACAGTATGCTGACACCATACACATCTGGAAAAAAGAAATGAAGAGCTCAAGCAACTGGCTCACTATGTTGCTTATCTATTTTAGATGGACTAACTTTGTGAAAAGTACTTATGCTTACTTGCACCTTTATGAGTATTTCAAGCATATTACAAAAAAACCACATTCATATAAACTTTCAGAGAATGCATGTATTGGCTACAGGTAATCATAAGGACAAGATCAAATTATTCAAGTCTAGAAACTTATCTGAATTCTATATAAACAATTCACAGAGTTTTAAGTTAGTTCTCTCTAATTTTAAGAAATGGTTGCCATAAATATCCTCTTGTGTTGTATCAAACACCACTACACCGGAAACCTGTATGAGAAACAGAACTCATATTCATCCTTAAAGAGCACAGGTAAGACACTAGAGTTCAGTTTAATTATTTAAAGTGTTACTAACAAAAGGAAATGTTTATTAATAAAACTGATTAATGTTAAGATCGATCCCATCCTTTTAAGCTTGAAAGCTAAAGGGTGCCATAGTACGCGCAGGCTGACAGGATTTTGTTATGCACAACTGCTCAGCTTTTTAACCTATTCCAAAAGCTGTCCTGGAAAAGGGACTAGAACAAGAGGAAATACTATAATACCTACTGCCAGCTTCTGCAGAACGCTAATCCTCATTTTCCCCTCCAAAGCCTTGGCTTAAGCATCTGTGAAAACTATTTTTGGAGTCCTTCTGCTTAATCCAGCACAAAACCAGGGTAGCAATGATACTTGCTATGCAGCGCAGACAGTGAGCGCAGGGGCACCTTCCCCCTTCCCCCCCCGGCGCCGTACCTGTAGTCGCAGAGCTTGGGCTGCGTGCCGCACTGCTGC